CTTATTTTAGACACAATTTTAATAAGCTCCGTGATCTGGTTTCTTAGCCCACAACAGATGATACACAGCCAACTGGAAAGGGGCCGGGGGTGGTGCTTCTACAGGCAGGCACTCAAAGCATCAAAATCAAAGCTGAAGACCTATAAAGTCAGCAGAAAACCCTCAAAACATAGCAGGCTAGAGCCATTTGGTGTAGATACAAAAAAACCCAGAGGATCCCAATCCCTGCCAGAACTACAATGTATGTTCCTAATGACACTCTCTGGTATACTCTGCTTAAAGCGTAAGTCCAGAGACCTGAAGATGTATTTCAAAATAAAGTCCATCAAAAGCTTTTTCCAAAAAAGACATGGCATTTAAAAGACTGCCAAATGCAGACACAAATAGCATCCCTCTGTCAAAGAAACAAGGTATTGACTTCTTAAAAATGCCATGTCAAATGCTGTTTTTCTTAGAAAATATTTATTAGAACACAGATGCAGCAGCAGTTTATGATATCTGAAGCTGAAAGGATATTTAATAGAATTGTTTTTCAAAGAATTAAGAAGGTTAAAGACCAAGAGCAATTATATAAGCCAAGTAAGTCTTTTCAGGGAGTCTATCTTAGACACATTATTAAGACTGAAATAAAAGAGTGCTGTCTTATGTATAGCTAGTAAGCCTGCCATTCAACCTAAGTGTCACACAGAAGGTTTGAAACAAATGATCCCCATTGTGTTGTCATAATCTCTTTGACTGGTATACTAAAAATAAATTTAGGGCTGCGGGTGTAGCTCAGTGGTAGAGTGTTTGCCTAGCATACACAAGGCTCTGAGTTCAATTCCCAGTGCCAAATAAATACATAAATAAATTATTTATCTTTTCTAATCCTGACAGTCTCAAAGAAGTCAAACTAGGGGCAACCCACTCAGGCCCCTCTTCTGTCCCTCTCTTGGACAGAAGCTTTGTTTCCCTCAATAAATACACTCTGCTCTTAACCTCAAAAAAATGTAGTCAAACTATAAGAAAAGCTCAAGTTTTTTACTGCACACACCAAGGTGAAAAGCAGTTAACAATGAGTTTCAGGAGCCGGGGATTTAGCTCAGCGGCACAGTGCCCGCCTGGCGAGCGCAAGGTCCTGAGTTTGATTTCCGGTACTGGAAACCCGCCTCTCCAAAAAATGAGTTTTAAAAGTTCAAGCTAGGGGCTGAGGTTTTAGATCAGCGGCACAGCGCCTGCCTGGCAAGCGCGAGGTCATGAGTTCGATTCCCAGTACTGGAAAAACTGGTGATTTAGCTCAGTGGAACACTTGTCTAGCAAGTGGGAAGCCCTGGGTTCAGTCCCCAGCACCAAAAACTTAAAAAACAAAAAAAAGCTCAAGCTATTATTTCTAAACTGAATTTTCTTCTTAAAAATTTTACAAGGGCCATGCACACCTGTTATTCCAGCTATTCCAGAGGCTGAGGCAGGAGGATTACAAGTTTTTCAAATCTGAGGCCAATTTAGGCAATTTAGCAAGACTGTCTCTAGTCAAGCATGGTGGTGCTATAATTAGCTAGTACTAGGGAGGCTAAAGCAAGAAGATTTCCGAGTTCAAGGCCAGCTTGCACTACAAAGTGAAACTCTGTCTCCAAAAAAACCAAAACCAAAAACACCCAAGACTGTCTCAAAACCAAAGGGCTGGGGCTGGGGATTTAGCTCAGCAGCACAGTGCCTGCCTGGCAAGCGTGAGGTCGTGAGTTCGATTCCCAGTACCGGAAAAAAAACAAAACAAAACAAAAAAAACCAAAAGGGCTGGAGGGGCTGGTGATTTAGCTCAGTGGTAGAACACTTGTCTAGCAAGTGGGAAGCCCTGGGTTCAGTACCCAGCACCAAAAACTTAAAAAAGCGGGGTGGCTGGGCAAGTTACTCAGTGGTAGAGTAATTAGGAAGCATGAATAAACCCCTAGATGCCAGGCATGGCACACACCTGCAGTCCCAGCACTTGGGAGGCTGAAGCAGGAGGTGAGCTGAAAGCTGGGCTACACAGTGAGTTCAAAGGCAGCCAGAACTATACAGTGAGACCCTAATCCAAAAAACAAAAACAGAAAAGTAAACTCCTGCGTATAAAAGATGTATTTTAGAGAAAAACAAAAAACAGTAAACTCCTGTGTATATAGGATATATTTTAGAGAAAATCTACTCTAGAAAGTATGTACTAACTGACAAAGAACCATATTACCAGGGGTATTATTAGAAGACTGAAATGTGTGTTTTGGGTCAAAGTGCTACTTCTCTCTAAAGAAGTCTCTGGCTTGGTGTGGTGGCCTACGCCTGTAATCCCAGCACTTGGGAGGCTGAGGCAGGAGCATCATTGCTAGTCTGAGGCCAGGCTGGGCTACAAAATGAGCTCAAGGCCAGCCTGAACCGCATAAGGAGTATCCATCTCAAAAAGACAGAAAAAAAAAAAAGACAGAGGAAAAAAAAAAAAAAAAAGAAAGAAAAAAAAGTCTCTGTAACACAGGACAATGCAGAGAATAAATGCTTCAATTCTTGATCTAAAAGTTACTACAGGGGCTGGGGATTTAGCTCAGCGGCAAAGCGCCTGCCTGGCAAGCGCAAGGTCGTGAGTTCGGTTCCTGGTACCGGAGAAAAACCAAAAAAAAAAAAAATAAATAAAAGTTACTACATACTACATTTACTCGCTAACTTTCTAATTAGATCTACTAGGACCCCCTCGTAATTCCTAAAAGCCTTAAAAATGCGTATATTTTTACTGATGACCTCTCAGTGTGCTCCTGGTCCTTCAAAGGTCCATTAAGGGGCCTTTGCTTAAAGTTCACACTTCTTTTAACAAGTACCACGCTTCTTTATTCTACAGGACTTACTGTCTGAAGTCTGCTTCTTCATTTGTAAGAAATTCGAAAAATTAGCTGTGAGTGGGACATACACCTGTAATTCCAGCACTTGGCAGCCTAAAACTCTACAGTAAGACCTTATTTCAATAAAAAGAAAGAGAAATTGAAGCACTATAGGTACAGTTTGGCACATGTGTAATCCCAGCACTCTGGGAGGCAGAGGCAGGAAGAGTCTAAATCCTAGCTCAGTCTGAACAACTTAGCCACTTAGTGAGACCCTGTCTCAAAATTTTTTAAAAAATATACAAAAAGGGCTGGAAATATAATATTGCTCTGTGGGTAAGCCTGAGTTCAAACCTACTGTAAAAAAAAAATAAAATAAAATAAAACAGCCCACAAAAGCTGGTAAAGGGCTAAACTAACTTATAATAGGTGATGGGAATAATTCCACATTAAAGTTTGATCACACGTGAAATGAGGTCCAACAGCTGAGCTGAGAAGTTTAAACTGTCAATCTGTATTGTGACTTAAAGGCAAAGTGAAAATTGGTTTTCTTCCTCTTGGATGCCCATCACATAGCTCACGATAGATAATCGAAGACTTACTTCTCATTAAGAAGCTAGGGGTTTAATATAACCAATCTCAGCCAAGCAAAAATCACCAGTGATACCTGCCACTGCCAAGAAAAAACCTGATAGTAAGAGGCACTAAGAGGCTACAAACTCAGAGGGAAAAATCCTCAATTTTAAGTCGTGCCCATTCTCTTTATGTATGTATTCTGTATCTATAGCTACATTACCTATACGCAAATTACTTATGTCTCCTACAGCTATATTATTTGTAACTAGTGAATAACCTTTCATTTTAAAACACAAAGAAATTTTTTCTAGTGGAAAATCGAGCTCAATCCCTTTTAAATTAAAAAGGCTTCCGTGAATACAGTACCTAACTTCAGAGTTAAGTCCATTTTGTCAAGAGACAGTGAAAGGAACCTTTGTGTAATTTCTCCAGTGGTTTTCAATGTTCAGTTTCTGAACTGACTGGCTTCTTCCCTTGCCAATCCAACAGCTTTTCTATCAGACTCAGTCCTGCAAAATTGAAGTGCTAGCTTCTGACTACATATGGCAATCTCCAGGAATAAAACGCTTCTCCCTCTGCTTCCCTCCTCCCTCGTGTAAGTCACATTTCCCCCTCCGAACTTCCTACTGTACCACTCTGGGGACAGGATAAAAAGTGTGCGGCTAAACAAGAGCAAAGCGAACTCAAGAAACAGTTGTACATCGGGCAAAACGGCGTCTGCCACCTACCGAGACCCGGCCCGCACGGGCCCGCGGAGTCAGCTGGGCCCGCGGGCGGGGAGGCCCGGAGATGGGGCGAGGAGCCCGCTGACCACCGCG